CTAAATAGTAATTACTAGGTACTATACCTATTTAGGCTTTACTAATTAGTAATTACTAAATTACTAAGTAATTACTTAGTAAACACCCATCCATGGGCTTCACGATGCGGCACACGATGCGGCAGATGTTGTTGCTGTGTTGTTCGTTGATGAGGAATGTGGTGCGAAGGTACACGAGATGCGCTCCTCAGCGTCGCACAGCTCTTCTGCTTACGGTGGTACTAACTAGCCAGCGAATACCTAGTTGGTCAAACATGAATTAGCGAATCACTTTCGCTTGCGGGCAGAAATCCAATTTGTAGCCCTAGTCAACCACAGAATCCCCAAGTGCAATCTTAAAAACTTGGGTGTGGATGGCGGTTAGCCGCCGCCCCCCAGGGCCAGAACCTGACATCGTGAAGCCGCACATTCGTTTCATATACAAGGCCGGAGATCCTCACGATTAGCCCCCCTTCTCAATCTCTCTCTCCAACACTTTCGCTCTTTCGTTGCAGTCGTTGCTCTGCAGAACCCCATTCATTTTCCCCACAAGTTCCGTCGATCCAGCACATCACTCTTTTACCAATACGATCATTACACACGCGATCATCATCGCAAATTCATTCTGGGATATCAAAAAGGGTTCTAAAAAATGAAGTTCAAGACTATTGCTACGCTGGTTGCGCTGGCCGTGGGCGCGTCGGCTCAGACTCCTATCGCGTATGTCTCACCACCACAATTACGACTACCAAACAAACTCCCTACCACATATAGTAACGTTGCTCTTTCTCAGCCCTGCGGTCCAAGAATCCGTCCTCCTCGTCCTCGCGACTGCGCTCCCGTCCAACTCCGTAAGCTATGCGCTCGCCAGCCAATCTGCCTTCGCCGCGGAAATGGCCTCGTCGCTCGCCGCAGGCAACCCGCCTTCATGGTACCAAGCCCTCCCCTCGGACGTGAAGAACCTCCTGCCAGTCCTGTACCCTGGCACCACCGAGGCATCTGCGACACCTTCTACTACGGCTTCTTCCACGGCTGCGTACACCCCCGCTATCACGTCCGGTGGCTCATCGTCCGGTTACCCGACTACTGCGAATAGTACCGTGTCTGTCAAGAGTGCGACGCTGAGCGCGAGTGGAAGCAAGGTTGCCAGCGCGAGTGGGCCTGCCTTCACGGGTGGCGCGACGTACCCTACCGCTGCAATTGGCGCCAGTGTTGGTGCAGCCCTTGGCTTCTTGGGCATGCTTGCTTTATAAAAAGCAGTAAACGCGACGCGGAAGCAGATGGACATTGAAGAGAGAGAGAGAGAGAGAGAGAGAGAGAGAGAGAGAGAGAGAGAGAGAGAGAGAGAGAAAAGGGAGTAGGCATCTTTAGCGGGCGGCGCTTCCGGTTCGAAACGTTCTTTCACGACGCGACGTTGGCATTCTTTTTGGGGAGACTTCGCATTATACCTTGTTTTTTTGATTGATTGATTTATTGGTGGACTTGATGGATTGATAGCTCTGGCTGTAATGTTTTTTTATATATTTGGTACGCCAGCTGGTGGATTGAAGTTTGATGGATGGATGGATGGTCGACGATGTTGTATGTAGCTTTTGAATAATCTATAATCCGTTTGAGCGCAACCTTCTACAACCGCTACGTTAGCGACGAAAAGAGTGAAAAAAGCATAATGTAAGGAAGTAGAAATTGTGGATGAGGTCCGTTTGAGAACCCTTATACCTGTACGTTAGGTCGCGACGCGTCACCTTGCCTCGTACCCAGCGTGTTGAACGCCGGACCGGCCCACCACGCTCTGTCGATCCCCATGCGGCTCTGCCGCATCAGCATGCGCGCCACACCTCAACATATTCAGTGACTAGTTCGACCCTCATTCAGACGATAGCTCAGACCCTAAAGTGCACAGAGCCTTGTTGCGGTCAGCCTGGGACGTCCGATTAATTTGCCGACCACACTGAAGAAGAAGATAGGTTATGGCGCAAGATAAAGGTAGCCCAGCCTCCCGTACGGTGTCATATGCATTCTGGTCTACACGCGTAGGTGATGTCGAAAAGCTTCTATAGCGAATTTCTCTATGACACGTGAGTGCTATATAATATCTGCCAAGGAAGATCACTTTGATGACGGATGGGGAGTGTCGGTCCGTAGCAATGTGCTATTACAACTAATCGATTGAGCAGATGTTGAGGAGGGATGAGGACTATAGTCAAGTTTGGCTATCGTTCTATTTTACAGAAAACTGATCTCTGCTACCAGCTCTATTTTCCCTTCCTCTGCTTTGCTTCTCCGTTGGCATCCTTCGCCGTCGTTTTGCCCGCAGATTTTTCCGCCTCTTTCTTTTCAACCGCCCTCCTCTTCGCACTCTCCTTCTCCAGCACTTCAATCGTCTTTCCACTGCTCTCCCATAACTTCTTCTGCAGTACCTCATCGTCAATCTCCTTCCTCGTCCACTTGAACCTAGTGCACTCTTTCAAAAAGTATCCCCCTTCGCCCCGTCCCCATTGTGCTTCCATAGCCGCGTACAGGAAGGTTTGCGCGCCTTGGTCTCCGCTCTTGAGCACCAGCCACCACAGCGGCCAAGTGATGAGGTATAAAGCCAACCCCCAAAGCGATCCGAAGGTGAGAAAGCGGCGCATACCGGGTGTGCGCGTCCAGCCTGGATCAACTATAATAACGCGGGCATTCATTGGCTGTTTATCTGGGCGAGCATAGTTTGAGAGGTGCTTTTGGAAGGCTACAGCAAACGTCATGAGAGCGAGCTTCGAGGTTGCGTATACAGCAGCAGGCGTGAAACCAATCTGTTCGGGCTCCGTCTTCGCATCTTTCTTCGACTTTGTTGCACTCGACTTGGAGTCAAGATTCGGCAGTTTTCCACCCACATACGCTGCACATGTTCCGATTATAATCCTCACGTCTCGGTCCGGAGGCTGAGCGCGCAAGGCGGGGCTGAGAATGCTCAGCAAGTGGAAGTTGGCTAGGTAGTTGAGCCCCCATGTCGCCTCGAGTCCATCTTCAGTCATTGTTGCCTTTCCTCCTGGCGGCGTCATCGTGTTGGCGCAGAGAACGATCATGTCTAGTCGACGCGGTGGCGCGTTGTCTACCCACTTTGTAGCGAACAGCCGTATACTGTGAAACGATTCGAGGTCGACATTCTCGGCTGTGATGAGCTCGTTGTTCGTCTGTGAGCGTAGATCCTCGATATAGTCGACGAGGAAAGGATCGGAAAGTGGTTGTCGGACGAGGAGAACGATCTGTGCACCGCGTTGTGCAAGCCCTTTCACCACCTCAGCACCTATACCAGCGGTACCTCCCTGCATCAACGTCAGCATATCCTCGCCAGTATCCATACGTTCAAAGGCTTACCGTCACCATGACCACCTTGGAGTGCATGTTCCTCTCGGACCCATTCGTTGCGCCATTGAAGTACCATTTCAGCAGGTATAGTACTGCAAGAACGGGTGCAGCTTTTATAATGGCCCAACCGAACGGGATGGAGGATGGACCCTCGGTTGCAACCTTTGCGATGATGTGGATGGGCATCGTTAGAGGATGGTGGCACGGAATGGGTAAAGCATACGCGGAACAAGGTGCCTCGCTAAGCTGATTTACGCACGTGGCGTCATCGGCATGTGATTGCGCGTTCAGGCCTGCCGTTTGAAGTTACAATTCACCATCTTCAACATCATCCTTTCCCATGCGGCGGTGGCACTCTTTTCACCGCCAAAAGGGTGCTACGATACACTCAAAGTCATGTCCACGATGACTGACCCCGCCATGAACCCTCGCCCGCATGGTGACGAATACGAAGACGCAGGCGACCCATACGACGATGACCCCGATATCTCCACGATTCCGTTCGTGCAGCAGCAAGCCTATGGCCGTGGACTGTGGAAGAACCCTATAAAATTCGTCTCCGCTGCAGCAGAGCCTCCACCGCCAACTGCATCCTCGACAAATGGCAAATCAATGGCAGAAAAGTACCTCGCCATCATGTTTCCCAACGGCCAACCGCAGCCAAAGCCCGAAGCCTACCCTCTATGCGGTATATGTGGCGAACCTGTAAAAGAAGTCGACCAGCGCATCCACTACCTGAGTCCCGCACATCAAGCAGCCCTTCCTCGGCCCCCCATTCCCTCGGCCATCGATCGGACAAGAATGGGATTGAAGTATATGGAGAAACACGGATACGATGTGGATGCGCGGGCAGGACTTGGGGCTAGCGGGCAGGGCATGCTCTTCCCCATAATACCGAAGGAGAAACGAGATAAGTTGGGACTAGGCATCGACAAGAAAGAGCATATTAAGAGGAGGGCGTTCGGTGGCGCAAGTGCTGCAGATGTTAAGGAGGGCAAGCTGGATGCTGGCAAAATGAGGAAGATGGCGAAGATAGAGAAGAAGAAACACGAGAGGTTGCAGAGGATGTTCTACGGAAACGATGAGGTTGAGAAATACCTTGGACAGCTGGAGGGCTCGTTGCATCAATGATAGGGCACGCTGCGATTTTGGAAGAGACATGAGGCTTGAGATGAACCGATGGAGAATGCAAGGAGGAGCTTCAGCCTCTAGAAACACCAAGGTTGTGCTTCGTGTGACATGGACTCACTGGACGTCAAACTGGGGGCGTTTTTACTTCCCGATCGATGATGCCGTGAACTTATTTGCGGAGGTTGATAGTCGTCGGTAACTTCTATATAGCATAGCGTTGGCGTTTGGTTTCCTTTACATATCTTGAGATACCCATGGATGAATTCGATCCGATTCTAAACAAACTCGAACCCTCATACATTCTGTCTGTACCATGGAAAGTACGCAAACATCTCTTGATTGCATCCACATCGCTCCTTCCGCAGCAATCTCCAATTACACCTCCCACTTCCCTCTCCCAAAAGCTCTGACGCGCCTCTCGTGGTGTCTTCAATAAACCTTTGATTTGATTTTTGCCTCTACGTTATATACTCATTGAAACCCCATCTGACTAACAATAGAACAACCAGGGCTCGTGGTCCAGTGGTCAAGACGCTCACACTATGCGACCGACCGCCGCTCAGAGCGGCTCTGAAGACCACTTCGGCGAAGTGTGTGAGAAGATGGTGCATGATGCACTAGTGTGAGGGGTGATGTGAGAGACGTGCGTTCGAATCGCACCGAGCCCGGCTTCTTTTTACTTTTTAGGATTGGATGATGTCTAGTATAGAGAGAGTGCAAGCAGTCACAAGGGATGAGGAGACAAAGAGTGAAGGAAGCTAGCGTTTTTGATTGCTTGAAATCGGTTCATGTAGGGTACTAGGGATAATATCTCTGTGGACATAATGGAAGAGGACTCTATAATCACGAATGGGTTTACGGGCCTTCCTTTTGGTACCAGGGGGTTTGAAGGGTGATTAGGTCGGGGAGAGTAGAATGGGACACGTCGGGAGGGTCCATAGAGGAGTTTACGAAGGCCTTGAAAGATGATTTTGGGCTGAAGACGGGTAAGCAGATCTATAAGAGGCGATATAATGATCATAGAAATAGAACAGTGTATGGCGGATGGTATTGTAGCACCAATCGAGGCTGGTCACGGTCGGAATATGATTGAGGCGCTATTGATGAAAGTTCTTTCGGAATTATATTGAGTCCGACAACTTGCTCGACTTTACGGGGCTGGATAGAAACACACCGGCCGCAGAGCTAGGTTTTCGGATATTTTGATGGAATTGTTATGACGAAAGGATGCTGTCGGGGTAGGAGGTCTCGTAGCGCGGGTTGCGTCGCCTCAGCGCTTACTCTTTTGACAAACCCCGCACGCAGCTGCATGGTGCCCTGTCATTGCTCCATCGCGCTATTAAATAAAAGTACAGCCCCTTTTAAATGTTTTCTACGTTTGAATTTAGTATGCTACCATTACATTGAACTAGAAACATACCTGAAAGCACCCTCCGCTTCTTGTCTGTGGAGACTAGCTCGGAGACTTTTACATCAACCCGGAACGATGATGTCGATGTCGAAGAATATGACTTTGACAGCGCACCAAAATAGGTAACATTGCACTGCTCTACTATACGAGTTAATAATTTCCTCCACGTTATGCTCATATGTTTAAACCATTGGTTTGACTCCGGTGGTCTGAACCATGGCCAGTACGCTCCTTGGAGATATCGGAAACTAAAATACCATAATGTCTCCATGTACCCACTGAGGTCAAGCATATAAGATACTCCTAGCACCACCAAAGAACAATCACAAAATAGAACAAACATAGATTTCACAGAAGACTTTCATCCAAACATAGTATCCCCATCGCATCAGCATGGCTCTCCGATCCCGACCCCAAATCTTCGACATCCTCATCATAGGTTCTGGCCCAGCAGGCCTAAACGCCGCACTCACATGTGCCCGCACCCGCACCAAAGCCCTCGTCTTCGACTCCCAAGCCTACCGCAACGAAGGCGTCAAGCACATGCACTCGGTTGCATCACGAGATCACTTCGACCCCCGTGAATTCGGTCGCATAGCGCGAGAACAAATCGAGTCCCGCTACGACACTGTCTGGTTTCAACAGGGCACTATTACCCAAGCAGTGAAGAAGAGTATCGGAGTGGAGCAGTACGATGGGTTTGAAGTGCAAGACAGTGAGGGCCAGGCGTATGCGGCGAAGAAGCTGATTCTCGCCACCGGCTCGAGAGATATACTACTTGATATCGAAGGCTACAAGGAGAACTGGCCGGAGCACATCTATCAATGTCTAGCCTGCGATGGATACGAGCAGCGCGGCACACCGGTCGGAATCCTAACGTTCGAGAGCCCGATGTACGCACACTTTGTGCAAATGGCCATGGCATTCGATCCACCATCCATAACGATCTATAGCAATGGCCCCGTCTCGACGGCAGAGCCGATTCAAAAGGCTCTCAAACTTGCGAAAGCATTGGGTGCAACGCTCGACGAGCGCAAGATTACGCGCCTTGTTAACAACGGGCCCTCGCACACCGACGGCGTGACAGTCCACTTTACGGATGGCGAGCCGGCTACCCTTGGCTTCCTTGTTCATAAGCCAGCGACGGTGAATAGGGCACAGAATCTCATTGACCAACTAGGCATTGAAACTGTCGATGTAGCAATGGGCGGGCATGTAAAGATCGCAAATCCAATGTTCAATGAGACGAGCGTACGGGGTGTTTTTGCAGCTGGAGATACAATGGTTATGATGAAGCAGGTTGCTGTTGCGATGTCTGAGGGGTTGAAAGCAGCGGCGGGTGCGGGGATGCAGATTGCGATGGAAAAGTCTGAGGCTGTGGTTTAGGAGTATGAGGTGAGGGAGAGGGATTCCCCATCCGACGAAGTCTGCATGTCAATCGATTTCGCAAAATTTGGCTTCGAACGTAGACTTGATCCAACCCAGCATAGAATATTATGTATACCGGCGAAAGTACATTTCGCTAATCATGTTGACAGTATTTGATACCGAGTTAACTTGAAATTGGATCGCATCTATATGAGAAACACGGGGATGCCGAGTCAAGTGCAACCACGTCATATGTTCCTACCTTAGTTTCCCTCGCCATCTTCGAGGTCCCTTACCCGAACTGTAGCAAGATACTAAGCTCAGGGAAACGTAAGAACCTTTCACATGCCATGATATAATATCACACACCCCGGACCATTAAGACTGGAGGCCTGATGACATCAATGTCTAGTATAAAGTCTGTAAACGACGTATTGGAAACCTTGGCGATAGTCTTTTATACGAGACGCGGTTCGTATCTAGTTTACGATGTCATTTCTTTTTTAGGGTATTCGGGTGCGTCCGCCTCCGACGACCCGAGGAGATGAGCCGTAGATGAACACATGGAATACAGTAAAAGCTCACAGGTAGAGAGGACGGCGAAGCGCACTGAAAAATCGAGTACAGGTATTAGGTTTTCGCGCTTATATAGTTTTATAATATACAACGATGCTTCCTTCCATCCCATTATCGACTTTGGTATTTCCAGCCCATCTCTAATTACAGTCAAGACCAGAGAAACCTTTCACACACTTCTCAAGCTCAAACAAGCTATCGCAAGAATATCTTACAAAGCGAGCATAGCGAGGGCAGCGGCACCGAGGAGACCAGCGGCCTTGGTAGCCTGCGAGGCACCACCGGTGAACTGGGAATTCGTAGGCGTAGCACTGACAGTCGCGTTACCGGAATGCGTGGCTACAGCCGACGAGACCTTGGAAGCAAGGCTCGAATGAACCGAAGCGACAGCAGATGAAGCAGAGAGAGCCGCCGACGAAGCAGCCGCCGAGGCGCTGGACTTGACACTGGCAACTGCAGAGCTTGCAGCAGAGGCGGCAGAGCTGAGAACGGCAGACGGAGTGGGAGTAGGAGTGGGAGTGGCAGAGGGAGCGGCGCTAGCATCAGGAATAACGATGGGTGCGCCGGCATCCTTGCAGGTGGACTCGACGGCGGAGATAGTGGATGCCTGGTCAGCGGCGTTGCAAGCACCCTTGACACAGGGCTGAACCTGAGCAAGGAGGGCGGCGCCCTTTTTGCAGTGGCATGCGAAGTCGGTAAGAGCAGAGCATCCGTCGCCAGTGAGGGGCCCGATGAAGCAGTTCAACTAGGTGATGTTAGTTTGTACACTTGAAGAGAGAAACAAGGAGACGTACGGCGCAAGACGGGATATTGTCAAGCTGGGCAGTGGCAACGGAGGCCAAAGCGACAATAGCGGCGATCGTAAAGGTCTTCATGTTGACTGAAATTCTAGTATCGATGTTGAGAACGACTTAGTGAGAGTTCGTTGGATTGTGTATAACGACAGTGGAGCTTGTGATGGTGCTCGGAGGAGGCTGCCACGAGCTCTTTATATCAAGAAAGGGTTGCATTGGCCCTGAACAAGGATGGAGCTCGTATCCAGGGCACTACTCGCCGTCATCCAGCACATGCGGGGACAGGCGGAAGGCCTGCAACCACCCACATCGTCGAAGTGACCATGGGAATCTGCTCGATGTGGTATCGTTCCATGGGCTGCCGCGGCTGTCCGGGGTCTGGAGCTAGGGAGGAAAATCTCGTTTGCCTGCTTGTCCAGGACATTTCCCCGCTCTGCAAATGGGATCGGAGATCACAAAGGAGAAGTTGCCCGCAATGTCCAAGGCCATAACCAATACACCCGAGGAACCGTGAAAGATGGTCTGTGCAGATATGTGCGGTTTTCCAATCCAACAAAGCAGGGTTTAGAGCAATCAACTCATTGGCCGCCATTGGCTCTTGTTACGTTTGGGGCTCTTGCGGCGACGGCGAGCTCGAGCAGAGCACGGGGATGGCGACTTGTTAAGGCGCCAAGGCCGGCGCCCCAGACGCCACAAGCTTTTGTTCATTGGGTGCGGTTCTACTCGTAGTGCTGATCCTCTTACGAGCAGCCGTGCGCCAGCCGCATCGAGTATAGCTCCAGGCTAGGAATCTGGGGTTGCAAAGCAGGTGGATGGGCCGTTGCGGGCCCTCAGGACCAGCAATTGGTAAGTTGATGAGACAGCTGGACAAAGAAAAGGGGTGGAGCAATATCGTCGCATGTGTGCTAAGCAGCCATTTGGTGGTGGCGAATGTGCAGGTGCGGCACAGAGGAATCGATAATTCGGTGCAGCTTGTCGACGTAACCCCGCAATGAATCCAACCCTTCTTGGCCATAATGCCGCTCGACCTATGCCGCTTTGCTCTGATGAGCCCTGCGGCAATCTCTTTCCAGAAATCGTACAGGAACCTGGCTCTTACAGCGACTGGGTGATGCAGCCGGGAACCAGCCATAACGTTGCGCTAGCCACCATCAAGGCTTTAGCGAGAAGGTCGCCGGTCAGTGCAGCCGAGTGCATCGCGTGAGTGTGGTGCAGTGCTGTACCTGCGTCGTCTGCTGTAGAGGACTGCTAGGCCCAGGCTCGATGGCCGGTTCCTTCATTTTTCAACGTGCGAATTCCGCTCCACCAAGGAAATCAGGGCAAGCTGATAGAACGTTCGGGATGGAGTGTTTCTGCGTCATCCTTTGCGATCATCGCTAGTTGGTTGCCTAATTAGCATCCTTACAGCTTGCTCGGCAACCCCAGATGGAATTCCTCGGTAGCATGTGCGTGTGCCAACACCAGCCATCCCCACTAGTCGCACGTAGATCTGGGGAAATGGGAACGACAAACGTATCATTTATAGCACCTACAGCAAAAGCTTAGTTGGAATAGCGACGCGCGGTGGACAATCGTGTGGCAGAATATGTCCCAGGGTACCCGTGGTCTGATATCCCTCACAAGTTCCAGGCGGTTAAACATGAGTTACGAGCCAACGGACAAGAAGTGCTAGTATGTTTGCAACACGTACGGAATTGATTGCGGCCCGAGATCCGTGACAGTGGTGCATGAGGCCCATAATCATGCGAGTTCGGAACCTTGACCGGCTTGGCGAGAGGTTGCAAGCAATCAAGTATCAAGTGTCGATGGTATGACGTTGACTCTCGGAAGAATGTCAGGCTCTTGTTGTGTAGTCCTGGTACCCCGTTAGCATACCTCTCACAAAGCTAGACAGAGAGGGTACGTTACAGTGCAGGCGAATACGCTCGAACAGACCATCAAGTTTTGTATATAACTGCGTAGCTAACACCGTGCAACGCAGAGTTAACAGGTCCACACAGAGTTCCCAACGCAAAGGAAAGTGCGGGAATATGATCAACGATCCTAGCAATAAGAATTCGACATCCTATTCGAGGCACTGCGAGAATAACGCCCGTTTTGTTGAGCGTCTATGGTCTTCCTTGTGTGATGAGCATAGCGATTCGGTATCCTCTCCTGGTTGTTAGAGGCTGGCGAGAGCAACACCCGATCCTTCATGTTCAAAAGAGTTCTTAAAAACTTGGGGAGCCCAAGAGGAAATTTGCCATTTGGTTGTGGCTAAGTCGAGATTATAGCCTCCATCAACTCGGCCGCATCGTTTCCCTGATGGGGGAACGCTCAGCATCAAGCTGCTGGGATAGTAGTCTGAACATCTTCACATTGAAGACAACCAGCCCATGGCTCGAAGGTACGGTGCGCCATGAAAAATCCGCGACATGGGAGGCTCGTGAACATTGTGCGAGATGATCAAGAAGCCTGGTCGTGCCTATGATGTTGGCTTATCCCTGGTAGGAGTCGTGACCTCTCGCATGCTACCTGGTGTCAATCAGTTTTGTGAGAAAAGATAGTGTATGAAACAACTCAGAAGTGAACAGAAGAGAGAGGAGATGTTGACAGATAATAAGGCTGTCGATGTCGAAATAGGTGGGCACAATGTCGATATGTCGGGTTGCGATGAGATAAGACGCGTCTCGGCGAAAGGTCGGTTCCTGAGGCAGCACGCTAGTGAAACTTCCAGCAGTGTTCGGCGCGATCGTGAACGACAATTCAAGAGCAGTCATTCAATAACCCAACAGATCTTTCCACACGTGAAACCTACCCGTCGCTGTTGCCTTCGCCTTCGCCTAGGGCGCTGTTGTATATATACACGTTACACACCTCGACACCATGGCGGAAACAGCTTCTCCACGGCTTCCAAGCTCTGCAGAGCAGCTCGTTCGCTCCTCAGCAAAGCGCACACGAGAGATATTCGCCGCCGACTTTGCTTCGGCTACCGCTCTTGACCACGCGTCCAATCCCGCCTTCTCAATACACCCAACAACGTCCGCGCCCTCTACCGCCGCCGACCAAGTCAACGTAGCATCGCGAATCCGCAACGAATACGAGCATGTGCGCGACCTACCACCTGCGCTCGCAGCGAAGATTACAAGCGCGGCTTCCACAGCTGCCGAGCGACGGAAGAAGATCAAGGCGCAGAACGCGGAAGAGAAAGCCTCCGACCCCAAGATGCAGAAGATGATCGAAGGAGCTTCAGAGAAGGCGGACAAGGCGAGAAATGCGCAGTCGATGCAACTGGCAGTAAGAGCTGGCGGAAAGGGCGCGGCGCCAAACGCGCAGGGTCCTACGCCGAGTAGAGATCAGACGTCGAGTGCGCTGGTGAGAAAGGACACCGTCAGGCAGGCCAAACCGGAATGGCACGCTCCGTGGCGGGTGAAGACGGTGATCAGTGGATCTATGGGATGGGTCAGAAGTCTGGCGGTAGAGCCTGATAATCAGTGGTTCGCGTCAGGCTCTGCAGACCGAACGATCAAGATTTGGGACCTGGCGAGTGGGACATTGAAGGTAACGCTCACTGGGCACATTAGCGCTGTACGAGGGCTTGCGATCAGCCCGCGTCATCCATATCTCTTCTCTTGCGGCGAAGACAAGATGGTCAAGTGTTGGGATCTTGAGACGAACAAGGTTATACGCCATTACCACGGCCATCTTTCCGGTGTCTACAGCCTTTCACTACATCCTACTTTGGATGTTTTATGTACGGGCGGTCGTGACGGCGTCGTCAGGGTATGGGATATGCGGACAAGGACGAACATCCACGTCCTTGGAGGCCACAAAGGCACGGTAACGAATGTGCAAACCCAGGAGGCCGACCCACAGGTCATAAGTAGCTCCATGGATTCAATGATTCGACTTTGGGACCTCGTGGCCGGAAAGACTCAAACAGTCTTGACCCATCACAAGAAATCGGTCCGCGCGCTTGCTCTGCACCCCAAGGAATTCACATTCGCGTCTGGATCGTCGCAGTCCATCAAGCAGTGGATGTGCCCCCGCGGCGACTTTATGCTGAACTTCCAGCCTACGAACAGCATCATCAACACATTATCGGTCAACGAAGACAACGTCATGTTCAGTGGGGGAGACGATGGCACGGTTTCTTTCTGGTAGGTTATCACTCTATACAAAATGCTTTTGATTGCCATGCTAACGTGTTTAGGGACTGGAAAACAGGTCATCGATTCCAGAATACCGAGACGATTGCGCAGCCAGGCTCGCTAGACGCGGAAAGGGGTGTCTTGTGCTCAACCTTCGACAAGACAGGCCTTAGGCTGATTACTGGGCACACGGACAAGAGCATATGTGTCTGGAAACAGGACGATGACGCGACTGAGGATACTCATCCGCTGGAGTGGAAACCGACACTTGGACGACAGAAGTTCTAGGAAGTTTATAGGAACAGAGTTATTAGGGCAAAGAGCGAATTTTGTATGCATAGGGAATGGAGTTGAATTGGCGTTCAAGACCGGATTCTGGAACGGATCAGGGTATGAGATTCGAGGTGGAAATATCATGCATAGGTTCAGTATACTCGACTGTATACTTAAATATTATATAAACCAAACAAACATTATTAAGCGCACACCAAAGTTGTCAATCATTATTCCATGCCTTCGCACATGTAAAGTCCTGAACTGCGATCGACGTCAGAGGCCCAAGCGCGCAAAGTGGGCTTCCGCGAACATCACGCCTCCCGCATCTTGAAGCTATCCCACCCAAGATGCCGAACGGGCGCCGCCCGCACGATTATGGCCCTGAAGCGCAGAGATGTGATCCTTGCAGCCGTCTCCGTCTTCATCGCCTGGGGCTACCTGACGCACTGGCAGCCCAAACTGCATTACCTGCCCTACGCCTTCGTTGCCGGAGTGCTCGCGACCCTCGCCCTGCTGGCATGGCTCACCTTCACCACAGCCTGGGACAGGGAACTACGGAGTGGAGGGGAAGTCGACTATGGGCCGCGTCACGTCGCCTTCCTTGCGCCAGAGAAGTGGAGGGCTGAGAGGGAGGCATTGAATAAGAGGAACATGTACATGATGGAGCCAATATACCCACCGTCCTTTGTTATTTCGGACAGCCTCGATGTGCTGGTGGGTTTAATCCTGCGCGACTTTGTGAAGGGCTGGTACGGGAATATCAGCAAGAGCCCAACGTTCGTAAACGAGATCGACAAGGCGGTGCGGGCTGCCTTGGGCGAGATACGCGACCGAATACTGGCAGTAGACATGGTGGAGACGGTCGTGTCGCGCATGATTCCCCTCATCACAGATCACCTGCGGGCTTCGTATGAGGCAGAGCGCGTCGTGCGTGGGCGTAAATTGTCGCGCAACATTACCGACTCGGAAGAGCTTGATCTTGCCATTGCAGCAAAGTATAAGGAGGGTCGACTACACCCGGCAGCTTCGTTGGCGTATTCCAACACCAAACCCATCCAACAGCAGCATTTGCGGAGCATTGTTTCGCGGCTACTACCCATGGTTATGCCTGCAAATATGACCACCAGTCCCGCTGTCAACGTACTCATCAAGGAGATTGTAGCATGCGCAGTCTTGTCGCCTGTGATGCAGATGCTTGCTGACCCGGATACGTGGAACCAGCTCATGGAGGGATACGTAAGACTATCATTTTTCGCTTTTGTTCCTCGCTAACTATGCCAGGGACGGACGTTGCTGCAAGAAAGGAAGACGGTGCGCAAGCTGCGAGCTGCACTCGACGAACATGCTCCGCCTTCGCCGAAGAACCCAAAGAACGTCCAATTTCCCAAACTGGCGCCGGGCGACAATGAGCGACGATTTGAAAGGTTCATCCGCGCCATCAGACAGACCAACTCCTTAGCGGATGCCCGACGCTTCCGGAGTGAAATATCAAGTCAGCTGCGGAAAGATTCCACAGCCGAAGGTCAAGACCCTGTTTACCTTCGACGTTTGGAAACCGCACGCCAGATCCTAGATCAGAAGGTGACAAATCTCAGCGCGGGCGGATCGGTGCGAGCAAAGGTCGCCGCTCAAGAGAAGCCTAAACATAAACGGACATCGTCAAGGTTCGCGAATGCCTCTCTACGAGAAGTCTTGTATGATGCATCAGGCCTCTCGTGCTTCATGGAATTCATGGACCAAGCAGATTTGATGCGGCTCGTGCAGTTCTGGATAGTGGTGGATGGGTTCCGGAACCCGCTAGAAGTCGATACTGACGAGCCGCCGGAATATGTTGGCTCTCTTCCTGCGTGGACAGACTCCGATCGCGCAGATTTGGCTCAGATCCACGACGGGTACCTATCGAAGCCAGAGCTCAAGATCCTTCCGGAAGCGCGACAGGCGGTCACGGAGTTTCTCAAAGCTGGACGGGCGGCGACACCTCAGCAATACTATGACGCACGCCGTGCCCTACTACAGGCGCAGACGGCCGCGTACGATCAGCTGCAAGAGCCTTACTTTCGGAGGTTCAAGAAGTCGAATCTATACTACAAGTGGCTTGCGATGGACGAAGCAGCGAATGGAGGGAAAGGTGCTGTGAAGACGAAGACCTTGGCGCAATCACTTGACAACTCGCTTGCTATAGCTCCTGCGATGGTTAGAACCCAGTCAAGGCAGAGGAGCGCATTGCAGATGCCACAAGGTGATCTTCGCAGAGCTGTCACGTCGTCGTCGGATATAAAGAGTTTGGGAATTGCCAAAACAATCGATCCGCCTCTGCGGCGCTCACTAGATGCGCAGCATACACCAACATTTATACGCGCGCCCTTATTCGATGATGACTACGATACCGATCCCTTGGCACATTCGACAGCAAGCTTGGACTCCGATCACGGACAAGATCGTATCAATGGCAACGATTCGCATGTTGTTGATGCAATGCAGGCGGCTCTGACCGACATCATGGGCGACGAACCTGAGGGCTCTATATTCCATGAGCCAAGTCTAAATACTCCTCACGATAATGACTCAATGAGAGGTTCTATCGATTTGCCACGGGCGTTGTCACCGAGGCCTGATCTGCAGCCGAGGAAAGACAGTTTAAAGCCAAGTATAGCGTCTCTGGGCCTCGTAGGTGAGCCGAGAACGCGCGGTGTCTTCAACGATGAGCTGTTTGGCGATGAGGAGAAGTTTCTGGAAGACGAGATCGAAGACCCGGTAGGCAGAAAAAAGATAGACGACGATGAGATTCACGAGGCGGCACCCGGAGATCTCGGTCTCGCGGAGGCTATAGATGCACTTACTGCGGACATCGAGCGCTTAGTAACACAGGAGTCTATCGTGGACTCGCTGACATCCAAGGCCGAGTTAACGAACAATGCTGCTGAGCTTAGAATTCTGCGGAAGTCGAAAACTAGTTTGCAGCGAGAGATACAACGGAAGGAGTTACAGCGACAGCAGTACATTGTTCAGGAGAGTGACAACAGCTTGTACGGACGTGCGACGGTCTTCATTCAGTCAATTATGGTCGGCACGGAGGAGGATGGCAAAGAGTACGCTATGTGTAAGTCTACCTTTCCCACTCTCCAGACGCTTGCTAATCGACTTCGTAGATGTCATTGAAGTCAGACGACGTGCTGGCGACCAGATGCCTGCAGCAACCTGGGTAATTTCGCGAAGATATAGCGAGTTCCACGAACTGAACAAGAGGCTTCGCGCTAAATTTCCACAAATTCGAAACTTGGAGTTTCCACGCCGACAGATGATGCTCAAGCTTCAAAAGGACTTTTTGCATAAGCGGCGTCTTGGTCTCGAGAAGTATCTACGAGTATGTAACTCCTACCTCTTCTACCATGAATGCCAAGTCTAATTGAGGTGTGGTAGGAGCTTCTGCTCGTCCCAGCAGTATGCCGCAGCCGCGAACTTCGTGCCTTTCTTTCCCAAGCCGCGATCTCCCCAGCTGAAGCCTTAGCGAACCAAGACCCACACTCAAACGACTTCGTAACACGCATCTACAACTCTGTCGCCGACGGCATGGAGGAGTTTCTTGGCAATATTCCTGTCCTCGACCAACTCTCTGTCGCGGGTCAAAACCTTATTTCTGCCGCTACGACTCAACTAGCTCATACGAATGGCGCAACCGCTCAGCCTGGTAATCTTTTCAATTCTGGTGTGTTGGTTGGGGGTGAGGGAACGGATGCAGAGGCTGAAGCGGAGTTATTGGCGTTTGAAAACAAGGAACTGGAGCCATTTGTCAAACCGATATGCGATATCTTCCTCGAGACATTCGAACTCAACCGCGAGAACAACTGGCTGCGCGGCCGTGCCGTGGTCGTCGTACTACACCAGTTACTCGGCGGAACTATTGAGCGGAAAGTCCGGGAATCCTTCTCAACTCTACTGTCCGAACATAATATCGCCAAGTACATTGATACACTCAAAGACGCCATGTGGCCGAACGGCAGGATGAAGGTAGGCGGCCCTGAGAGGACAGGTCAAGATAAGGAGAAGAGTAGGAAGGCAGCAAGTGAGGTGCTGGGTACACTAGTCCCAGAGTTGGCATCTAGTGTAGTGGGGAGGCAGAATGCAACGTTGGCGGCTAAGAAAGTGGAGGGGTGCGTTAATAATGCGCGGTTGAAGTAAGTTTCCAGAATGTTAAAGTGGTAGTGAAGTGGGCTAACGAAAGACATAGTACGCATCTTGCTTTTACGCTTTTGGATGAGCTGGTTAATGTGCTATTTCCGGAAGGTGGGATGAAATGATGCATGCATATGGAATGGCGTTGCATAGATGGTGTCCATGTTTAGGTTGATGGTCAGATAGGAGACGGCGAGCGATGTCACACCCAACATCACTCGCAAACTCGAATATACTTGTAACACTTCAGCTTGATACCGTCGTGGCTTTGTAGTAGATTCCAACTCCAACCCAGACTCCCTAGGTCTGTGTCAACAAGCTTGTCTCATAACCTACGAAGATCGCGGCCTTCGTCCAGTGAACCTGATATTCTTTGGTGGGCTTCAGCTCGCCGAGCAGATGCGTCTGGCTGTGTGAGCTCCGTCGTAACGAACTTTACCGTCTGTTGTCTGAAGGTTCGCGGATCGGACGGAGGCGTCATTCAACAGGTAAGAGAGGTAACGAGGAACGAAAGGCGACTAGGCAATTAGGTAGGATTAAAGAAGTAATAATATACTAATATAGAATTAAAGGAAAGTTAGGAGATAGAACAAAGTTAACCGGCGGTAGAAATGATATTAGTGATATATCTTCGTATGGAAAGGTAACTGGTGCATGTCGTTAGAGAAGTATTAAGTGGAAGGATCGAAGTTATGTTTGGGAAGGATAGACGATAGACGTGGGGCTCGGGAAGGGTCCACGGGCAGATGTTGGGCCAAACGTATATAACTCAAACTACTTAGTGATCGCCTTAGCCCACATTATAGTACTGGTATGTATGGACGCATTCTCTGAAAAGCGATTTGAGTTTTGCAGCATCTTCAATGAAATAGATAGTAGGTTTACACACTCAAGTCGCTCCAATGGATCCATATGGACCCAACTCCCTAATCCGCTCCACCCACACCCATGACACCTCTTCCAAACCACTCACTAATAACCGCAAAGCCATCCCTGCCTCTCTTAAGAGCATCTTGAAACATATCATGTCTCTCTGCACTCTCTACCTGCGCTCTTCGAATCGCCTTGACCGTCGCATTATTACTACTACAGATCGGGCATTCGATCTCTGCATTTTTGACATCTTCATCCGTGCTCAAACAACTTTGATGAAAGCTGTGCTTACACAAAAAGTGCACAACAGGCAGCTCGAGCGGCTTGCTGCACACTTGACAGCGTGAGGCCTGGAAAACGACAGGTTTGGTATTCAGATTTTGCAGCTCAGTCTTCTTGGTTTCCGTGTCGGAGCGGAATGTCTCAATTGTGCGGCGGTTGGAGGCGATTTCGGCGCGTTCGCGCTCGATGGTAGTACTGAGGTAGGACTTTATCATTCCCATTGTAGCAACGCCGTTTGCAGAGAGGGTCTGAATGACTTGTAGGGGAGCCATGAGCCCGTCTTCGTCGATCTTCTTGAGAACCATGTCTAGCTCGTCACCTGCTTCGGCGAGGATGTCGGGTGAGGAAGTGAAGAATGCAAGGGCGGCGGGGTAGAGTGCAGGTTCTTCTGGGCCATATTTGCGGAGGGCGCGGATGGCGCCTTGTGTGTCTTTCGCGGCGGTGTATGAGCGGAAAATGTCGAAGTGCAGTCCTTGCTGCTCGCGGACAAGAATTGCGCCGTCGCGGAAGTTGGAGAGATGCGAGAGGAGGAGTATGTTCGAGATGTCTATCGGTATGTCCTTGCCCTCGACAAGTTTCTTTGCCTTGTTTTCCCACTCTTGCCGTTCGCCATCTTTCTTTGAGGATGCGGTATGCAAGTACATTTCGAAGAGTGTGGTATAGAGGTCCACCTTGTCGTCTTCCCGCAGATTCTCCGACTCGATGCATGCCTCAAGGAAGACAATAAACTCTTGAGGGTGGTCTACGAAAGCTGAGAATGCGGTACGTGGTTTAGGTACCTTGTACTCTGGCGGGGGCTCATCCGTGTTCGTTTCAATAATTTGAGCTTGACTCATGGTGCTCTTCTGCTCATTTGTGGGAGGAGATGCTAATGCGCTGGTGTTCATGTAAGGTAGGGGAAGTAGAGCGGCGAGATTCTGCACGGCGCTTGAGGCTACACCAAGCCCCATCCCTATTCCACCCGACGATGGAACATCAGGAATGATGATAGCATCCTTCTTGGGTCTGAAGTTCCCAGTGTAGTAGTCGATGAAGAGTTGAGTAGTGTCCTTTGGTAGGTGTTGTAACAGTACGGTAGCATACTTCATGAGGTTGAAGTACGCTACCTCGGGCTCTAATCGCCAAATATAAGCCAACGATTCCGCATATCGTTTTGAGTCTTCGATGAGTACGTCGACTACCAACTCGTGTTCGCCATGTTTCCGTGCTAGGAAGGCAGCTTGATCGTAATAGCCCCCTTGCCGGCACATCGAAATGGCTGTGTCTAGGTCAAATTTGAGGTCATCAGGAGATTTGATGAACTCTTCCAACTTCTCAACGTCTTTAAGTTTCGCGTAGCAGTTCAAGAGTAGAGTTGTATGGTCTGAGGTCGCCTTATGATGATCATGGAGCTCTTCCAGGTATTCAATCAGATTGTGAATTCGTTGGGTATCCAAAAACTACCAAATTGTCAGCACGTCGAGGATATGAGAAGTGCAGCACGAACCTTTCGAATGACCTGAGAAGGTTCAGTATTGTCGATTGCTTTCAGATACTGTTGCATAGCGGTATCATAGTCTTGTTTTGAATACAAGTAATCGCCAAACTTCCTCAGAATGACATTCTGCTGTGACGAATCAAGCCCTGCCTTCTGGGCTAAATTGATGGCTAGCACATAAAGATTCCGCTGGTACAATATGTCCAGCTTCTGCGCGAACGGCTTCTCATGATATCGGTAGATCTGGTCGCGTTAGCTTATGAGCGCTATTTCTAGCAGCGGCGAACACACCTTTCCATCAATCGTGAACACAAAAAGGTCGCCCCATTCTGATATAACAGCCTTGACTTGGGACGACAGTTGTTCCTGGTGCGCCACAAATCTCAGCTCCGTATTGAGGAGCGTAAAACTCGAGGTGTTGAACGCATCATCCGCAGCGCCAATGCCAAACGCTCTGAGCGGGTTGGACCTGGGCATCGCGTTGGACTTGGGAGGCGCAACAATTACAACGTAGTCTTTGTATGTGGAGACCATTTTCTTCTCGCCCTCGTATGTATATGGTGGTCCACGGCCGTGCTGGCTGTAGTAGTAAATCGCATCGTTCCTTCCGACAACGACGTCTCGAGAGGCTTTGTCGACAGCCATGCAACCCACGCCGCAGCCGTATTCATCGAGTGATTTCGCCGGCTGCCCTTGTCCCCTCCCGGATATTACGAGCGTCATAATGCGTGCGGTCGTCGCGATATAGAGGGTGGTGATATTCCCTTCCCTAAACTCAATACCAGTAATAGGTTCCTCGGATTCGAACACAGTCCGTTGTCGCGCTCCTCGATCGTGTATAAGATCGCCTCTCACAACAGTGACGGCACCATTTGCGAAACCCACAGCAAGCTGCGACAGGTCGTCCAGCGCAGCAAAGGCAGATATGGGAAACTGCTTGCGCCCATTGTGAATAGTGAGCGTACTCTGACACCGTGGAATGCCTGTTTTCTTCTCCAGCTTGTCCAGTGCCCATACTTTCAGCACCGGCTCATCGGACAAGTCTTCGGCTATTGTGACTAGTAAAGAAGTGCCTTCGATCTGCTTCATGTGGGTGATTGCGCCCGCATCATGGGCCTTGAACGCGCGCACCACCTTGAAGGTCTGCGACACGATTCGGACGAGGCCATCTGCGCTGCCCAAGAAGATGCTCTCTGATCCGGATATTATGCATGTTATATTTCCGATCTGTAATGTGTGAGAGACTGCGTATCCACGGGCTGTATCGTCATACCTCGGAGAGGAAGGAGCTCTCGTCGTCGGGGAGCTTGACTTGCGAGACGTCGAAGAACTTGAACTGCCACTTTTCTGAAGTCAGCTTCGCCATCATGTGTAGTGTCAAGGAGAATGCTTACCGGAGTGACTGCCATGCTGCTACCGGTCCATACTCGCGACTTCTGGTATGGCAAGAGCTATCGTCGCCTTGGAGCTGCGGGCAGGTGCGCTCGAGCCACTCTTCCCCGAGATTCCGACATCCGACATCGAGAAGCTCAAGGTGGCCTTGACATGGGCGCGCCGTCTCCATTCAACATCGCTGCATCTCCAATTTCAAATCGCCTCGGTCAACACTCTGTATGCTACTGTTCGTACTAATAGTTGAATACTGTACTAATTACACGCAGGAAACCTCAGAGCCGTCCAATTACCTGTCAACACCCATCCTCTCCCAAGAGAACATCTACCCGTAGCCAAAATGATAACGGACAACCAACTTTACTCGCTCGCCATCTTCCTCGGAAGTGCTGCCATGCTCCTCATTGTCCTATACCACTTTCTGGAAGTCAATTCGGAAGAATATCAGGAAGTCAAGAAGCCAAAGGGCGCAGCAAGCAAAGTCAAGGCATGAGAAGAATGTACAATTTGGGCAGACTACGCTCGACGTGTATACAAGTCTGAGAAGCAAGGGCGAAGGGTCTTTTGTGAGCGCCTAGCAGGCAGAGGAATTGATACCAAGTTGGAAAGCATTAGCAGGCACTAGGGTGCAGTGAGCGGCACGATGTGGAGTTTGGGCGCATACAATCATGAATCATTGAGATGGTTTGGTCTGGTCGCTATATCAGCTACTTTCTCTACCGATGCTCGCACAAAGGAGTGTTCATGCAGCACTACCTGCTCGCCCTTGATTGGCAAAGCTAGGGCGGTTTCCTTCTGCCAATGGGTATACGCATATTCATACAGATGCTTAATTCAAGCACAACCGTGAGCGCCTTGTTGACCTGGTGCTGGTCGCAATCGACAAGCCGCCCGCTCTCTTCGTGTTCAGTCTTCTACATCGACCAGCTCCTCTTCTATTGCACTATTGTCATTGAACCCTTTCCTGCGCTTGTCGTTAACAAGTGTCGCACCTCCACGATCCATGCCCGGCCCACCAATGCGTCTTTTATGCGACACCAGGCGGGCCTGTACATCGCGGGCTTCGTGCTCTGCCGCTTTCTTAGGACGTCCACGGCCTCGAGGGATTGCTGTTGCACCCTGACACATCAATTTGTCCGCTTGGAAGCGCTCGTGATCGATGGTAATGCGCGGAGTGACTTGACGACCTTGAGCATCGCTAAGATAAGCCTCAGATTCATGCGCGTCTATTCACTCTGTCAGACCCTCAGCAATCGCTTTTGAGCTTAATTATCTTCGTTACCAGAGAGACCACTGGCTGGTCCATCGCCAAGCTCCCATGATAGCGGCTCCAAATGGTTCTGCTTGATATGATTGCGCCAATTGGACTCCAGGTCAAAGGACTGTGGTGTGTACTTCTCGATCCTCATGTTAGTCATGGGGTCGTGGTTGGTGACTTCCTTGCCGCATTCAGCCCACAAGCACTCCAGAGTATGGTGAAGCGTTTCTTTCCTGTGGACCTTGAAGACGTGCTTCATGAGCGTTTCCAGATTGTGGAGCTCGGCTTTGCAGTTTTGCCACTTGCAACTGTACGATTGATATTGGGGAACACGGTTTGCGACGCTGGGTGAACGCGAATCGATCCGGATGGGCTCGTCTCCACCAGTTCGAACATTGCGCAAACTACTGGGCTGCGAGGGTTGATGTTGTTTCCGCGGACCTGTATAGCCATTCGCAGACGGCCGTGTTTGCGCAGTAGCGGACCCATGAATGGCTTTTCGCCATCCAACTGGACGACCCTTCTTCTTAGGCAACGGTTGTCCATCTGGTCCATATGCGGTGGTGGACCGGAAAGCGCTATAGCCAACTCCAGGAGCGGCAGAGCTAGGGCGCGGAGCACTTACGCTCATACCTGTAGAGCTTGCCGAACGCTTTGGTGTTGTCGGTATTGTAGAATTGGGGAAAGAATGACGCGGAGGTCGACCTCGTCGCTTCGGCTTGAAGGGGTTGGACGGTTCAGGTAAAGCTTGGGCCCTTGCTTGAGCCCCACCTTCACCGCCAATCGCGTTCGAGGGCGCCCGAGGACGCGCTTCTCTCTCCTCGTCAGAATCCTCTTCATCGTCGGCTTCATCTGACAAAGGATGAACGCCGTCCTTGAAATAGCCCGGGGGAGGCTTTCCAGGATCAATCACGTCCCACCTGATCGTGCTCAGGTCGGAGTCAAATGATATGTGCGGTAAGGCTGTCCTCAAAACATCCAGGTGCTGATTGAGTGGACGCTCTGATGGGTGTCGTCCACACGCAAGCAGCACGTCGCGCGCAATTGTAGCGGGATTATAATTATTCCGACGAATGGCCTTTTTCCTGTCTAGGTGATCAACATAGACTCGGTGTCGAAAGTCGTTGGCAGACGGCTGTACTGGAACTACAGGAGCTTGAGGTGGGCGGGAGGGCACATTGGCGATGGGGAAATTGGTGATCGCGGGTTCCTTGTCGACAGCCATGCCGTCTTGAGTTTGAGGATATGGGCGTCCATCGGGATACATGGAATTGGAGTAAGGTTTCTTCGGCGGCGGGCCCATGTCTTCCTCATCAGACAGTGCTGTCAAGTCGACCAGATCACTCAAGTTTCGCTTCCGCGCCGCTTCTTCTTTATTTGCCGGTGGCTTGAGTTCCGCTTTTATGGGTATCATCTCAGCAACTGCCACAGGCGTAGCTGCGGTGGAATCATTGTCTGGAAATGGTGGATACGAGCCTCTGATTGCAGGTGACATAGCTGCAGGCGTATGTTGTAAGTTTCCTGCAGACACAGTAACATCTTTTTTCATGACAGCTGGAGGGACCTGAGCTTTAGGTGCAGCTACAGGTGTCGGTTGAGGTGCCGTTTTGCGGGATGCTGAATTAACATCGGGAACAGCAGTAAGGAGGCTCTTCGCAAAAGCTGCACGATCTAGCTTCAATCCCATCTGCTCCAGTCTTTCGCATAACTCAATGTAAGAGGGGTTGCTGTTTAGCATGCCAAGTATCTTACTAGGGTCCAATGAGTGGCTGGGATTTTGACTAGTAAGATAGGCTGCCGCTGCTTGAGCTAGATGTGCTTTCTTTTCTGGTGGCCAGATAGTGTTGCCACCAGATCGATTAGACGCTGCTTGGGCTTGAGCTGGTACAGCAGGAGCAGAAACTGGGGCAGGTGGCTTCGCAGTAGACTCCCGAGGAACTGCCTTCTTCCTCGAGTTGGCAGCTTGAGGAGTATTTGCTTGGACAGTCTGAGCAGGTTCAGGAACTGTCGCTTGAGTGGTTGGTTTTTGAACAGTCGGAGATTTTGGAGCTTTGGCCCGCCTTTCTTCCTCCCAAATACGGGCCAGAAGCGCTGGGTCTTTGCCGTTCAGCTCTCGCATTTTCGCCATCATAGCACGAATCTCAGCCTCGAGAGCTTCACCTGATGCCGCTGGTGGCTCAGGCGCGACAAGCATTGCTTCAGCTACATTTGATTGTTGTTTGCGAGCTTTCCTAGTCTTCGGGTTCGGCTGTCGAAGTCTTTCTTCCTCTTCTTGGCGTTGGCGTTCCTCTTCCTCTTTCTTCAGCTCCTCCGCCTTGCGCAACTCTTCGGCAGCCCTCTCTTCCTCTGCCTTCTGAGCACGCAGGGCGTCCTGCTTCCGCTGATACTCGGGCCATGGATCGTACACGGCCATGGGATCTACTGTAGTGCCTTGGGCGGCATATGTATCTGCGACACTGGCTGTGGGCGCGGAAGAAGCGATTGGAGTGGATGATATTTGAGCATTAGTGTAGTTGTAGGAGTTCGAAGTAGTGGTATTCTGGGAAGTTCGCGAGGCCTCGACACTGGGAAGCTGTCGCTGGCTATAATCCGTATACGGCGGGTTTGCGGCAGCAGTCATGGCGGCCCCTCTTGCAGATGTGGCAGGCGTCGCATTGTACTGATGCTGCACCCTTTGCGAAGGATAACCTGCGGCCATAGCTGGAGATGGCAGGTTTCGATTCGTTGTCGTTTGGGTGCGATTGGTGTTGACGCTACGTGGGCGAGCTTGCGATTGACTATAGGAAGACAGGGTGGCGTGGGTCTGTGCCTGCATTTGCGGTGAACGGGAAGCGTCACTGCCGTATCGGCTTGATTGGGAAGTTGCGTCATTTGTCGCAGTGAAGCCAGAGTGGTTTGTCGCCAATGTACCAGTAGGAGTATATGCTGTGTTGCTCATATTGCGTAAGACTTCAGCCGCACGACTGGTCGTCTCTCGGGTTCCTCCATAGTTGTTACTATTCCACGAATTGTCTTGGCCAGCACCATAACCACTGCCCGGGTTCGCATACGATTGTGGCTGATAGGACATGTAATCCTGGGCTTGGTTCGTCGGTGGCTGTTGGTATTGGCGCGACGATTGCGCGGCGTTGTTCGAAGCCGGCGCAGTCTGATATTCCGAGTACTGTTGGGCAGAGCTTTGCTGGTATTGGTAATTGTACGGATGGTAGTTGTTCGATGCCATCCTGGCCGGCGTCTAAATGACCTGGAGCCCTTCCAAAGCCAATATGCGGGTGAGGTTGGGTAACTGCATAAGGAACAGCACGTTCACGAAGGGGAGTTTAGGTAGGTGGACGAAGAGAGTCGCGTGGCGGCATGCGACACGTGTGGATATCGCTGATTATACGCGATCTATCAACCTAGGTGAGTGTGTAAACGGGACTGCGACGCGTGGTGAACAATTACGGGGAAGTTCGGTGTTCAAGCAGCTAGCACGCGTTATGCGGACTTGGTTGGGCGGAGCGGAACGCGGTCCGGCAAAACTATTTTCCCAGCGCTACAGCAAGCGAACTAGCTGGGCATTTGCACACTTCGTCGACTTCAATTTTTGCGGACCGCGATACCACTTTCTCAACTAACCCGACAACCCGCCAATTTCACAGCAACAATGGCCAAGGTCCAGCCAGTCGTCGCGAGCTCTCGCCGCAAATCACGAAAGGCGCACTTCAGTGCGCCGAGTAGTGTGCGTCGGGTCATCATGAGCGTATGAGGACTTGAATGAATACATGCATGGACATGTTCTGACAATCTTCAGGCGCCATTGAGTAAGGAGCTCCGCGAGAAGCACGGTGTGCGCAGCATTCCCATCCGCAAGGATGTAAGTATCTTACAATCTCCTGCCTGGTTGTAGTGTGCTAAGAATTTGCAGGACGAGATCACCGTCGTGCGCGGCAGCAACAAGGGACGTGAGGGCAAGGTCACCTCCGTCTACCGCCTCAAGTACTGCATCCACGTCAACGGCAGTGCGTATTCACCAGTTAGCAGAAAACAGTTTGCATACTAAGTTACAACACAGTCGTCCGCGAGAAGAGCAACGGCCAATCGGTTCCCATTCCCATCGCTCCCTCGAAGGTTGTCGTCACCAAGCTCAAGCTCGACAAGGACCGAGAGCAGATCCTGGAGCGCAAGGGCGCCGGTCGCGAGGAGAAGAAGAAGAGGAACGAGGCATAAGCGTCTTATCTCCTTCGGTTGACGACACATTATGGCATTGACGCTCAGGAATATCGACATGGTGTCTTAGAGCGGGCGGCATGCATATCATCGGTTCACGGTCTGGGCATGCGACAAGCGCATGGAAAAGCAGGGCGTTATACCGGCTTCTAGCTCGAACAATGGACTTGCCGTCATACGGCCCCGTCGAAGATTCTTTCGAAATGATACCACGAAGGCTTTGGAGGTTGGTAACGAATGGAAAACCTTAACTCCGGCCTTCGATGTGACAACCCGCGTGATCATCCATTCCAATATGTCCCAACCGCTAGATAATCTACTCACCAACCGATACCTAATGGTTGATTGAGTTATACGACTGGCGCAGAATAATGCTAGATGACTACTGTCATTGCTTGCCTGCACACCATCTTCGAGGTTTTCAATGAAGAAGATGGTTTGTTGATGAGACACATTCTCTTTTATCTCCACCATGCATTTGTCGCCTGCCAATGATGGAACCAGCTTTACGGCTACTATCCGATTCTGATCAGCCCTTGTACAATCGAAAAAATGACATACAATATCGATGCCTAAGAGCTCACCAACGTCTCCCGTAAACTGTGACAACTGCTCAACTAGTGTACCAAGCTTCTGAGCTCCTGTGTTCCGTTCTAAGACCTTTTTACGTATAGCAAGCAATCCCCGAACCTTCCAGGTCGGAGGTCGGCTTCCACGGACCCACTCCGTATAAGGGTTTCACCTACTGCACGTTGGCGGAGCTGTACGATCTCTAGCTTTCAAAAACTACTTCATATACGAGAAGTGTGAAGCAGTGAGTGTCTTTCGGAACCGTCTTACGTTTAATAATGTCAATGACCGTCCTGTATGGGAGTAGAGTTTTGAATTTTTTAGACATAGATCGGGTGAGTTTACCGACGATATTGAAAGCATGCAAGTTCAACTAGTATTTGCTGAAGTTGGTTCAGATGTCTATCTAATTCAGTTGGGTACTATGTGGTACATGTGATTTGTTACTTTGGTTAGAGAGACGTGAAGCTTGCAGAGAGCTCAAGGGATGTATAAGATACCAAGTAGATATATTAAGAAATGAGTTGCACATGAAGAAGTATATTAGCCTTACAAATAATGTATTGTACTTTGTTCAAATTTGATAGCATTTGCTTCTTTAGACTAAGATTAGGAAAATCGATGGAGGTAGGTAATGGGGCCTGTCATTTGTCAATAGGCCTAGCAGTTAACGTTGCGGCGGACAGGTAGTCTACAAAAGGAAAGGTAGTACCGCATAGTAGGACGAGCCTCCAAGACAATGGCAGATTCTGGAGTGAGTACTTGCTAAATTGATAGTAACTAGCTACTAGGGGTTACTCTCATAACTTGCAAAGGGTAAATGATATCTGAAGGAGAATGTGACCACCTCTTGAAGTCGGTAACCCATACATGGCTGCTCAAGTCGTATATTTCCGTGGTGCCCAGGAGACTGACAGCTGGTGATCGATGACCTGCACATCAGCAATGACAGCGACAGTGTGATTATCCTGCACCTCACCCATGGAAAGGATAGCATATTCATCGTCTGATGAATGGTTCTGGTTCTGGTAACGGCAACTAGACGTAAGTGCCGATTTGTCCGGAGTGATCCTCGGTTCTTACGCGTGTGATTGCACACGTAGTCACGCATATATTGATGCTATAAGCGTGTATTCCGCATACACGTCCATGTGCCCGGAGACGCGGCGTGTGTGTCGTCACAACCACCACATTTGATACATGATTGTCGCGTCAGATGCGTAGCGTATCGCTGCATTATTATACATGCCCTCAAATAGTAGCATATGAAGGTCCAAGTTCTCCTTGATACTGTTGACCGATGGTTATCGTATATGTGGAGAGGAGACATGATTGCCGTATGCGAACCCGTCGGGTAGGCGGAAGGCAGCGGAACTTGCGAGAGATCTCCAGAATATCATCATTAGAGAGGTTGAGCATGGTGGGTTGCGCTAAGGTAGTGTGAAGTAAGTGATCATCGAAGAGGCGTGGCCGATCAACCCGCAACTACTCCAAGGGAATGGATAGTCTTAGCAAATCAGATTAGCTCAATGCACATTGTTGTTCGGGAACTTGGATGATGTCTTCCGAGGCGTGCGTATCCATGGATGGGTGTTTACTAAGTAATTACTTAGTAATTTAGTAATTACTATTTAGTAAAGCCTAATTAGGTATAGTACCTAGTAATTACTATTTAGTAATTACTAAATAGTAATTACTAAAAAAAAAATTTAGTAATTACTAAATAGTAATTACTAATTAATACTATTTAGTAATTTAAAAAAAAAAACTTTTTAATAAAATATTAAAATATATAAATTTTACTATATTAATATTATATTAAAATTCTAAATATAGTACTTAAATTATAGTTTTATACTAATATAAATATATAATAAGTAGTTAAAATAAGTAAATAG